GTCTTGACAGCGACAGCCGCCTTGTCTTGGCTGGACGATTTCCGACAGCGCAAACAAAGACATGCAATGATGAGGGCCAGTAGCGCCGCGCCTCCTGCAGCTAGGACGAGAAGCACTCCAGGAGTGAGCCCCAAGAAAGTTTGGTCGATTGACTTGTTGATTGCGGGCTTGTGCTGGGCTGGCGGTGTCGTCGAGCTGCTGTTGCTGGTGGTGATATTGCTGTTGGCCACACACACGTTCACTTGAATTTTAACGTTGTCTGTGTAGAGCTGTGTGACGTGCCGAAGGACGCTGGCGGCCACGAGCTGGTCTCCAAAGTCAGGCAGGTCAAACTCTTCGTTCACGTCGCTGTCTTTGTGTCCGCCTTCTTTGATATACTCTTGATGAAACAGCTGCGATGCCAACGCCCGGTCCGTCGCGTTGAGCTCTGTCAGCGAGCTCACGTGCACAACTGCGCTTACTTCTTGCAGGGTGGTCGACTTTGACACGTGGTGGAAACTGATGTTGTCCACACTCAAAACCGCCGCATCGTCCGCCCGCAAGAACGAAACGAGGGTGCTGACAAAGGCTTTTGAAGAGCTCTTCACCTGGTCAGCAGTTGTATTTACCAGCAACCACGTGGCGAGGACAGTCCAGTCGATTGTCACGGGCTCTCGGATCGTGTCGTCGTCGTCGACGACACCCGTGACATTGGTGGTATGGTTCGACACACCTGCGGATGTTGCGAACTTGGTGATGGATGGCGCTACAACGTCGACGGGGAAGTATCCCGGGGCACATTGCAAGGCACATCTGCCGTTTGTGGCCAACGAGTCGTAGCACGCGTCCAACACTGCCGCGTATTCGGTCTTGTCACACGAGCTGATGGCGCAACCCAGAAGCCCAGGATAGCACGAGCATCCGTCGCCGTAAAAGAGGTTCACGCATCGATGGTAGTCTGCAGCGCAGTGGGTTTGGGTGCACGAAGTCCAGCTTGCATTGGGGTACGCAATGGTTGGGCGGGGATACACTGGATACACTCGCGCCTGGGGCGGTGTCGCGCGAGCACGTGATGCAAGTGCTGTTGGACGTTGCCCGGCGGCCGTTGACGAAGGGGTGGCCCCAACAATTGCAGCCACGGTCGTGGCAGCGAGCGCCAGCACCCACGCCGCCATCTTCACGACAAAGTAAAAGTAAGGCGACTCGCCCTTAACCTTCGACTCCCAACAACGAATCGCAGGAATTCGAACTTGAGTTTTGTTCGAACGACGAACAAAACGTATGCCATCTCCTAGCGCTATGCCATGCTGTTTAGCTTAATGTTAGCGGCTAGCCGACAAAGACGCAGCAATTTCGCAGCTTAACCCTTGTCAAGTGTAGTAATAATCGCTATAATACTGAGGGGGCTCGACTTTGAGCGTGGGGCTGGTACTGATGCAAGTCTGAACTTGGTCCATGGCCGTGGAGCCGTCATTTCGTCCTTGCAGCGTGTAGTGCGACGTTTGGGGCTCGGAGAACTCGGCCATGACGGCATCTGCATCGAGAAAACACCCGAGGTAGTCATGCACCAACGCTGGGTCTTTCCAATGCGCAACGCGCTGGTCCATATGAAGCGGTAATGGTGCCATGTCGTCGTCGTCTTCGCCTTGGGGTTCGTTGTACTCTGTTTTGATCGAATTTACGTCAGGAATGAACGAGGCGCCATTGAAGTTGGCGAATTTGTTGGGGCTCGTGGGTGGTCGCCGCTGCGCGACCCGCCTCGACGTGTCCGCGTCGCATAGAAAGCATCCGCACGTGAAAAACTTGCACGGGAGATGTGGAATCATGTGGGCGATGTACTGTTCGACGTCGGCATTGTGCTGGGCGACGGCGTCGTCGTACCGCATGCCGCCGTACTGCTTGCTCACTTCGAGTCGCATCGCGTACTCCTTTTCTTCGACCTTCTTCGCCATGTGCCACTCGTCGCGGCCACACGCACAGTGATTGCCATTCGTGGTTTTGCTGCGGTGGCTGGTGGATGGTGACGTGGTTGAGGTTGGAGCATGCTGTGGCGGGGACGTTGAGAGCTGCGATGGAGACTGCGGCGACGACGACAGCGCGACCGGTAGTGCGCACTCGCACAGGACGTACGTGGCTTTGGACCGGTAGCTCCCGAGCAGCGTGGATTTAAAGCGAGGAAACCAAAACTTGCGATCCCTCGTTTTTTCAGGGCCATCACCGGCGTTGTTGGAGCGAAACCGAGGACCCAGTTGACGCAATACCCACCCCACAGCCATCGATCGACGCCTCGGCGGTTGAGTTTGCGAATGATGGCGACGACGATGCTGCCTCCGGGGAGCATCTACAGCAGCCGGGTGCACTCAAGGGCGCTTTGCTAGTAATGGCACGCGTTGTTGTTGCAGGGACAGCAGGTGGCAACTTTCGGTCTGGCACACATACATTAATAAACCCCAAAATTTTAGCCAATCCAAATGTGGTTGACAACCCATATCCTTTAAATAGCGGTATGATTGGTGGAAAAAATTGTGTTTTTCGCCTGAACAGGCGTATCGGATTGGTCGGTTTGGATTGATACGGCAAAAATTCTTCCCATGCCTCATATCACAAAATCGCACGCGCCGGTCACGTCGGAGGGAATTAGTACAGTTGGATTAATTGAGGCGAATCGAGCAACCAATCCGTTTTATTGTGCCACATTGCTTACGGCAACGTCGCATTTGTTGATGTTGCCCATGGCGCTGGCGGCGACGCCCCCCCTTCTTTGGCCTGGCTTGTTAGTTTTGTCATCGCGACTGAGATGGCACCACGGCACCCATGATACACATTGAGCAAGGTCCGATCAGAAGGACGGCATCCCGACGACGAATGGCGAGCCTGTGCTTGTGCAGGCGGCTCAGCTGTCCATAGGTCCATGTGAACAGCGAATTCTCGCGTGGTGGACAACGAAATGTTTTACAAGTCCGATTAAATATGAAGGGTTATTGTATATTATAGTTTTTCACGCAATTGAACAACACCACGCAAACGCTCCAGTTTGCATGACCTACCGTTACAACACTCTGATTGTCCATCCACGCGGATTGCTTCATCATTCCAGCCAACAATGCAACGAGCGAGTTGTGCAGCCATCGCGGTAAAAGCACCCACACGTCCCAGTGAACCGCCTCTCTCAACCTTTGCAGCAATCGAGACATGAATGACGAATGCCATAACATGCAAATGAGCATGCACGTGCATTATCATATTTCAAAATACATTCATTTTGAGAGAGGATTCTGCAGATTTGTCTCCAGAACAGCCAACGGCAGCCGGTTGCCTGGTTGGTCCAGGTGGGGAACGGTACCAAATACCCAGTGAGATGGTTGACCAGCATGAGTACCAGAGAGACGAGGGGCAAGGCATGGCAAAGTTGGCACAGTCCACACCGAAAGGGGGTCGATAGAAGACGAGCCAAGGAGCGCGTAGTGGCGGCAAATGAGCCCAAGGCCGTGACTGGTTCAGCTATAACGACGACGTGGCTGTTCTGCTGCAGCCACCCAGCCAGTCAGTCATCCAGCCCCTTCCCACCCCTGCAGATTCCGAACGCGGGGGTGACACACACAAGCTGTGATCCGACACGAAGCACAACAGCGTAGATAAACCTGATGCATGATCGGTCGATCGGACCGCACATTTCACATTCGAGCGAGGATGCTTCATACGTTGCTATCTCAAGAAATGGAGCGGCGACCGACCTATATCGCTTCCCCGCTGGTGGTATATGCACGAGGGCTTGACGGGAATCCATGTCCAGGACGACGAAGGCATGCCATGAACCGATGACCACATATCCTCCAACCGGAACCGCCGACGGGACGGAGTCATTGCACGTCAATGGACGAGCCCCCCAGATATGCACCGCTAAGATGATGATACATGCACACGGTCAATGACGCGTTCAAGCTCTGAATGTTGACCACGCAAGTCAACGAAAGATCCTCGATCGCCCGTAGGTCACCCAGCGATCCAACGATCTCCCGCACGACGCCGACGTGGTATTCGTGCGATGTTAACCGATAGTATAGGCCAACCACGCCGGCTGTCAATCACGCAGGGGTACGCCGAACCGTCGGTGCGGTCTGAAACGACGTGGAATGTGATACAAAGCGGTCCACGATAGACTACATTTCGATTGAAAACTTCCACAGCTTGTCGTAGCCGTTAACTTGGAACAAGTCCAATCAAGTCGCACATAGCATCCCTGATACGACTAGGGCCACACAATGGCGTGAGCGCGACGATCGAATTATTTGTCTTGTAGCGCTATGGGTGTATCAACAGCGGGTAATGCCACTTGCACGTTCGCGATCAACGTGGACGGCGCATGGAATTCCCGGCCAATGCCGCCATCAAACGGTAACGTCAAGGATATTGTTGACGAGACCAATGTTGACGAGATTAGGTGCTATAGCAGAGGCACCACCACCCCCTTCATCATGACCAATGCGCAACCGCAACACCACCCCCCGCCAAGGTCGATGGTCTCGTCTCACACCTCCAACGCCACCCCTACCGCTGTACGACACCCGCATCACCGTGTTGCCACGTTGTCCCGGTACATTGCATTGGGCTACAGTGTGCAGCTGCGTTCTAGGTTGGTCAGTCCGGCGCCATGGGAGAGGCTAAGACACGTAAGAATGTGATCAATTCGAGCAACGTCAGCGCATGACAATATATCCATGACGAGGAAATCTGCCCCCTTGAATGATCGATTTTGGAAATACGCATGGCAAGAGGTCATTTAATTCGCGTGCACTGAGCATGGTACAAATTTGCTTACCTGATCGCACCCCGAGCGTTGAGGATAAATTGGCTGACCCAGCTTTCAATGCATCGTTGTCGCGGTGATTCATGACTGTGGCCTGCAATGAACAGGCCCACTGGGCATAGCGACGGCCGCCCGAAATGCCCGACATCTCTTTGAAGGCCAAACAAAGTGCTACGAGGACTTCACAGCTGGTACTACGAGGGTGTGCCTCTTCAAGATCGAGGTAAACTATCCGGATATTCCGGATACTGCTTCCGCGCGATAAAAATTGCAATATTTGCCGACGGAGGTCACAGATGCTGCAGCACATCCAACACCACTCAAGATCGGCCCGTGTGTTGATCGCAGGGGGTGGCCCTGTCGGGCTCACACTTGGCATTCTCCTGCAGCATGTGTACAACGTGCCGGTGGACATTGTAGAGCGGCAGTTGCAGCCAACGCAACATCCACAGGCGCATTTCATGAACCTCCGCACCATGGAAATCCTGCGCACCCACATGCCAGTTCTGCACGACCGTATTCTCGACATTGCAGCTCCGCCGCAGCAAGTACGTTGGATGCCATTGAATTCAGGACGTTGAGTGTTTCGTTGTAGTGGCGGGATTACGTGTACTGTTCGCGCATCATTGGTGGCGAGCTGGCACGGATCGATCAGTTCGGACCAGGTAATGATGCCTTCGATGGATCCACGTGTGTGATTGCATTAACTTTGTAGACATTGCGCACCGCGCCGACTCGTTGCCAGGCTATCGCAACGAATTGTTGCACGGCCTTCGCAACTTGTCGCCAACGCAACCCGTCCACTTTCCCCAAAACAAGTTCGAAACACTCTTGAACGAATACGCCGCCGAGTGTGGCATCCACGTTCATCGAGGAGTTGAGCTGACCGACCTGCGCATGTTGTCGAAGCAGTCTTCGTGTGGCCTTAGCCGCGTCGATGTTAGTTTGCGCAACGAGTACGATCGCCTTCATTTTGTGATGAACCACCTCCTCGACCGCTGATGGCTGCCCGGCCGTTTTCGATGCATGCATGAAAAATCTTCGCTATAAAGCCAATCCGTTTTAGGACCAAGCAATACGACTATGTCGTCGGTGCAGACGGAGCCCACAGCAAAGTGCGATCACTGCTGCATATTCCCATGGAAGGCCCGCCGCCGCTCCAGAGTCTGATCAACGTTCACTTTACCAGCCACGAGGTAATCCAAGTCAATGGGTTTCCTTGGTCCAGTTCAGGGCAATGCTGCCACCCCCGAGGATTTCTGGGGCGCATTTCATGCTCGTACGGATTGCTGTAGCTCGCAGCGCATGCTCGCACGTCGCCGGCCATGTTGTACTTCATCGTACGTCGACCGAGTCTCACAATACGTTTTCGTCGATATGTATCACCCCGTGCCATCTAGTTTAACCCGAAAGTGATCGGGGTCTTGATTGCCCACGACCTGGCCAAGGGTGAATGGGTGTTCCAGATCCCTGTATTCCCGTTGCCGGGGCAACTCCCGCAAGTCGACTTCCCACCGGACCGGTGCATTGACTTGATCCGGGCAGCGGCAGGGTCCCCGTCACTGGATGTGGCGCTGCACTCGATTGGGGCGTGGAAAATGACGGCCCAAGTCGCGGCGCAGTACGCCACACCCAACCACCAAGTCTTTCTTGTGGGTGACGCAGCGCACCAGTTCCCCCCCGCCGGCGGCTTTGGCATGAACACTGGTATCCAGGTACGATGATCCGCGCCATGGAATTTCAATGGTTTGTATTTCGTCGACTGGCCATGCCTCGTCGCCACCATCATCTCACAACGTATCGGTCCTGATAGGACGCCCACAATCTTGCGTGGAAGCTGGCTCATGACATCCGCACCCGACGCAATGTGTCGTCCACGACCGCATCCTCGCCTTCATCTCAAGCCGCGACCAGTGCATCGCCTTCCCTGACCCAGCGTTCGTGGCTCCCAACGTACGGGTCGGAGCGCAAGGCGGTCGCGACCACGATGACCAAGCTGAGTCTGCGCAACTTCGAACGAATGCTGCGTGTTCCAGCGGCACTGCATGTTTCCTACGGTGTGTGCGAGCTCTCCACATGACGACGCTGAAACCTTCGACCCTTGTGTGTGTGCCTGCTGAGTAGACAGCGCCAAAGCGCTTGACACGGTAGCACACTCGCCGTTGTTTCAGTGGTTACCACAAAAACTGCAGTCGTCGGTCGTGTCGTCTGCGTTGTCTGCCGGCACTGCCCACTTGGCGACCCTCGACAGTGCCGTGTCGTCCATGGGGCACCACCTCAAGCGCCGCGTGCAGGAGATCGTACTGTCGCGACGGGCGCTCGGGATGCTGGTACGAACTGACAACCCACGACGATCGAGTGGCTTGGTCTAGATGATTGCAATCGCGTCGTGACCGGTTTCTCCTGGCGTAGTTCTTCAAGGCCGACATTGGGTACTCGTACGCCCCGCAGTCGACGGACGGCGACACGTCCGATGCTGCACTCAACAACGCGCATCGATTCCGCGTCCCTGATGGCAAGCCCAGCGCCACCGCTCCTCTCGATACAGTGTTTACCCCGCGGCTACATGTTGGCCAACGGTTGCCTCATCAATGGCTGTTGGGCGCGACGAACGAAGGGGCGAATGTCCAAGTGTCCTCGTTGGACCTCGTGCAGCGAATTGTGCAATCAACCAACAACAGCGGCGGCACGGGCGGACCACAATTTGTGCTCGTGGTGCAGTCTGCTACGATTGCGCACTTGCCACCGAACAAGCGGCCATTCATAGCCACGGTGGTCCTTCACGCCAAGCACGCGTCGGCCGCAGGAACGTCGGCGGCGGCGACGACGCACGACTACTTGTACGTTGACGAGACTGATCTGACAGCCGCCGCGGCCGTCCTCGTCCGACCGGATGGTCACGTGGCGTGGATTTGGAACGACGTTCGAGAGATGTCTCCAGAAAGTGTCGCGTCTGTTCTAGCCAAGATCTAGCGAGCTTTCAATCGATAGTAGATGTTCTTCCTGCGCCACCTGAATGGCATTTCTGTTCACCTTGATCCAAGGACGGATAGCGTGAAGCTCATCAACACCAGGGATGGAGCGAGGTTGACACTAGTAAATTGCAGCGCTGTGTCGACGACGCACGTCCATGTCAGTCTCGACCGCAGCACGTTTCGATCTCCGGCAATCATGGAGTGGTGTGGCGCGGCGAACGCTTCCATTGCTGGAAGGATTCGCTTTCCATGCATGGAGCTGTAGCAAAAGCAGACACAGACTTGAATCAAAATCGCATACTTTTAGTTGAGCCCGACTCCAAACCTCAACACGACGGCTCGAGGTCTAAATGGCGCCCTTGTGGTTGGCTTTCACGGGCAGTTGGTTCGGCTGACGGGTGCCGACGCGAACAGTCTTCGGGTTAGATGCTGGCTTCAGCGAGAACGTCGCCATATTGCCTCGGAGCAACTTGTTCTTGGCAAACTCGGACCGCGCCAAGCTGTCGAGGACGTGGTGCTGTATATATTCAAATAAACATGTGAGACAACAAGTTGTGCCAGGAGAGAAAGCTCGCACCATAGAAGTGACCCGACCCGCGTGCTTGCGCATCTTTTTCAAGCGAAGCAAGTACCGCCGTGTGCTCCCTTGCTTGTTCACTTTGATTTTCTCCAGGTCAAGGTCGTCGCCGTCTTCTTGGGTCGCTTCACTCAACCGGCGTCGGTTCTGGTCAGGTCGCTCCTACCAACCACATCAATCCCATCAAGTTCAAACCCATTCGTCACTGTAGACTGTTGCATCCATATCCGTTCGACACAGCGCTCGATAAGCACGACTGTGCACATGCGGCTGGATGCCGTGTTGACATGTGAAACGGGTAACTTTACCTTGTCGCTGTTGAGCTCCTGCTGCCACATCTTCCCGCACGCTTCGTGGAACGTTTTGCCAGTCGCCATGACAAGCACCGACGACGTGTGCCGATTCCATTTTTCCTTGGAGTTGTACTGTTGGCTCATGCCGAACGGCGGCTTACTCAGGACGCAGTGGCAGTAAAAGCACTCGATCGAGGCCGGGGCAATGCACTTGGCTTGGGCGCGTCGCAGCACCATCACTTGGTCGTGCAAGTCCGTTCTACATGCATACACGATGACCATCCGCGTCAGCCACCACGACATGATTCACAGTCGTCCCTTCTCGGTATCAAGGAAATCGCCAGAGAGAGAGAGCAGCGTACCGAATCATGCCGTTCGCTGTCTTGTAAATGTTGTGTTCGTAGTTGTACGTGTCCAACATGCCAAAAATGGTCGGTCGAAAATCACCAAACTCGTCGTTCCCGTGCTCGTTGGTGATCTTGAACAAAATCGACTGCAGCGACACACACGAACTCATGCGTTCCAGGATCATCGCAATCATTTCATTCACGGCAATCTAGAACATCGAGCATGCGCGCATGAACCGAGCGCCTTCCCCACGAGCCAACATGGATGTAGAGACGCACCTGGAACACGGTCTGGGCACCACGAGTCGCTGTGCGCCCTTTGGTCTTGGACTGCATTTGTTTCTTGACCGTGTTTTGCACCTTCAAGCACATATCGAGGAGCGTAAACCACAGTTTCTCACTTTGGTCGTCGCGGTGACGGGCGGAATGGCGTTCGCACATGGCAATCGCCACATCCAAGGTGGACTTGACCTCTTGGCCCTCGACGAGGCTTTGGAGGATGCTGCTTTCGTACTGCATCGTGCTGGTAGATTGAAGCTCCGGATTGAGGTTGAACCCACGGAGGGCGGGGCGAAGCAATCCGATCTTCTTTTCCAAGCCCGCTAAAATCAAACTCAACGCCCCTGTCACGTCCCCCGTGCGCTCCAACAAGTATGCCTCAGCATCTGTGATGTTGTATTCCTATCGTCACCACACACGTCCATATCAGCGGGGATCGATGGACGGATTGTAGAGGCATCAAGCGATGGACTCACTTTGCACAGCTTCAGGCACGAATCCACTCGGTACGCTTGGTGGTTTGCCAAATACGGGAACACTTGAGGAGGGTCAAATTCGCACAGCAATTTGATGTATCGCTCTTGGACGGCGGCGTCGTCGGCCATCTAGCCACACGTTCGTGACGAGATGTCGACAAGGGGTGCTTATATTACCCGCAACCCGTTCTTCTCGGTCAAGTCCTTGATCATGTCGACGTCTTCGCCCGTGCCTTCCGCGCCACTGCCAAGGATCTGGCACAAGTAGTTGTACTCCCATTTGGCGCCGAGCTTGCCGCCGACTTGGACGAATTTCTGGATGATCCGGTTGTTCAGCGACGGAAAGTTTTCCAGAATGAGCACGACAAACGCCGTCGCGTCGACGTCGAGAAGGCCGCCCGCGTGGTTGATGATGCCCGTTTCGATCGTGTTGGAGCTTTCCAATAAACTGGTCGACGCCATTGTTGTCCCGTCGCCGTCAGTCCCCCCTGATACCTTGTCCTTTTCATTGCGAATATACGAAAACACCCCCATCTTGTACTCGCGGTCCGTGTCAGCCAAGTAGGCCGAGATTGTCTCGCTAAACTCGTTGCGGTCCTTGTGCAGCAGCACCGCCGCGCCTACGCACGTACGTAAGCGTTGACAACCTTCTTGGACCACGGGGTCGCTCTCTCCGTCGACACCACGATTCAACCACACACACGCATCGACGTTGCGTAATGGCTTCCAATTTCCACGAGTGAAACCAACGGGAGTTCCAACAGACCAGTTTCAAATGCTCAAACACAACAAGGCCAACGACGGCACATTGACGAAGTCGTCGATTCACAATTCAAATGGCATGAAAGCCGTGCACGTCCCATGTGCGGCTCGTCAAAAGGTACAAGTGATAACAGTGGAGGCATCTTTCAAAGAAAGGGCTCATTCGAGAAAGTTTTCAAGCATGCACACATCACGACGACAGACCGTCAACACGTACGGTTCATGCCCTCTTTAAGCACCGACTTGAGCAACGTCGCTTGGTCGTACGAGTCCTTGGACAGTTTTTGCAAAAGCCGCACCAGCATGACCTGTCGACCGGCTTTGTCGAACCCTTCTTCCTCAAACGAAGTTTGGACGGGACCGAGAGCTTGTGGCCCCGTGGCCAAGAACGTCATGAGCGAGTTCATCATGTACTGGGTGCTGGACACGCTGCGGGCAGTCGCATACGCTTGGGCGTCGATGGCGCCACCTAAACCGACCAATTTCAGCACAACAAATCATACGAAGGAGGGATGCAAAACGACGACGGGTACATACCACTGAACAGCCGCGCTTCAAACATGTAAAAGTGGCCTTGGTCCGCACTGGAGAAGAATCGACTTGTGGGAAATTGCTGAGGCGCTGCTGCACTGGTCGACTTGGAGTCGCCGACCAGCACCTCGGCCAGGCTCAGCACCATGGTCAGTCGTGGAGGGCACCGCAGCGGCGCCGTGGCGTACCTACATGTCCCATGTCGTGTTTTCAGTTCCACCCGTCATAAAATGGACAGCATTGCCAAGGAGACAACAGCACCTCGACGTGTTGCTCGAGATGGTTTCCCCTTCAAACTCGACGTTGGGAGCGTCAAAGAGGCGGGCAATCATGTCCAAAAACACCTTGGTATCGAGTTGCAGCAAAGGAATCAAGCGGGGGTATGGGATCGAATCCGTCGCGACAGCGTTGTCGTCGCCTCCACTCGCCATAGCGTTGTCTTTTGGATGCTTTTCAAACAAGTACTGCGTCAACGTTGCAACCATAGTCTGCATGCGCTTGACAGACACTGGGTGACGCCGTGGAAACGAACGGCCGTCAAAGCAGTAGCTCAGGTAGAGAAGGAGCTTATACGCCCACTTGCGCTTCAATCGACCTTCCTCGGACGCCCCGTCGACCAGCGCCAGTGCGGCCCCGCTCGCACCACCAGGTCCCATCGATGCCGACGCCGACGCGGCCAACAGCACTTGGACCGGCGTCGTGAAATCGTTGCGCGCTTCGTTGTACATATAAATGAGCGCCGTGTACAAGTGATGCGTGTGGCACACCGCAATGACTTTGTCAAAATCGAGCTCATTCACGTGCATGTGAAGAAGGGCTTTTTCCACCTAGGACAATGAGTAGTGAGGGTCTGCAATGAAGCAAAAAACGCGGCGCGGATCGACGAACCGTGTCCATTTGGTTGGTTTTCAAGCAGTACGACACAAACACGTCCAAGACAGCGGCGCTGAGCACATGCAGTTGGTCGTGCAAAATATATGGCGCGAGCAAGCTGACAAAGATCTCAGCCTTGTCAGCCTCTTGGAATCGCTTGAAGATTTCGGCAAAAAGCAAGTCCGTGCGGTTCGTCGACGCGCAATACTCGATCGCGACCCCCGCCAGCATTTGAAAATGCGAAAGGTTGAGCGACGTCGACGGGGCATGGCCCATCGCGAGACGGACGTAGTCCATCAGTAAATCCGCCATGCGATCCGCGACCCCAATTGGAACAAAATTCTTTGGCGGCGCCCCAGATCGCGCCGTTTGAAATGCTGCTTCCAGCCGCTTCGAGACATCTGCTGGGTACGGCGACTCCCCCACGCACCTACAAGCATAAACATGCGGGGTAGGAAATCAAATGGAATGCTGGGTAGGACCACCCATGCACCAGCACACTGAAAACGCCACAGCCCTTGCTGTCCCCCCGTTCAGTTCCCCACCCATGAACGGCACCAACGTGGCAGTGAATTCCAAACAGACAGGGAAGGCAAGCAGGGGCCCGTGTTCAAGGAACAACCAGGGATATGGGCACATGAACATGCAGAACATTCCGTCTGTCGAGGGGTCCACGTACCATCGCGGTTCTTCGTTGGCATGGTCCTCATGTCGAAACACGTCTTCCTTGTCTCCCGTGCGCTGGTTCGTTTGCGACATCTTGAAGATGTCCACGACGCATTGATCTTTGTTGCGATCAGTGAAAAAAACGGGAGGAAACCGGTCGCGTTCGGCGCGGGTCTGGGCGGCTTTGTGCAAGCCTTCGTAGTGATCCAACGCGAGCCCGAGTCCTTCGAGCCACTCGCCGTCTTCAATCAGCGTGTCGATGCGTTGCGTCCACGGCTGCACACGCGCCGTGTGCAGTTCCTTCAACCCGAGCAGGTACAACATGTCATTGCACGCGCGAAAGCTAGCAAGTACATGCGTCAGCGACGCAGGATCGCTATACTGCACCTGTTGGCAAAGCTGCGCCCGTTGTTGCCTCGATACGACGCGTACACGAGCCCCATGCTGCTGACGTCGATCGTTTCCAGTTCTTGTCGGCTCATCGTGTCGTACACACACAGTTCATCGTGAAAGTTCAAGTACATGATCACGTGGTCGCCGAGCCATTGGGTCGCGACCACGTCGGCGGACGTGTCGAGTGGCGCCGTCTCAGCAAACGTCGGCCATCCATCTTTGGCATGGACATGACGCGGGCAAAAAAGCACTTCAAGGAATTGAATATGGCGGCCCCAGCCTCGCGCGAGAATCGGCGTCGGCGTGTCATGGCGAGAGCTTCCAGGCAGCGCGACCCATGCAAACGCAAGTGACGGCAAATTGTCGACCGTCACGCCCTCTACACGATTGCAACCCAAATAATCTCGTGTCAGATCACGATTGTCCAAGCGATTTGCATCTCAAGTCAAGCAGCGGCCACGACACGGCAGTCTGTCAAAGAATCGCCATTTCAAATCGATGACGCAGCAAGTCACACGTCCGAAGTCTGCAGAGACCCTACCTGGCTTGAACCAACGATGCAACACCTTCACCTCGGGCTCAATCGCGACCAAGAATGTAACCTTGTCGGTGGAGATGGCCGCGATGCTGTACACGTCGGTGATGTGCGCGATTTTCATGTGACCTGCGCTTTGGGCAAGGATGGCGACGCTCAGGATCTTGCCCGCCGAGCCATCGTAGATGGGGTCCACGTCCACCACGTAGACATACCCCATCATCTTGCTAAAGTTGACCTTGTTCGCAATACCGCTATGACACGTCAAGTCCAGTCACCGATCGCCGCGGACGTACTTGGCATCGACGGACAGAATGCACGGCTTCTGGTCCTTCAGAAATAGTAGCGATACGACAGGGCACTCGTGCGCGTCCGACACAACTTTGAGCGCTGTGCCTTTGAGCATGTCCCACAGCACGATGCGGCCGCTGTGATACCCGCAGACCAAGAAGTCACTTCCGGGAGATACGTCTATCGCTGTCACGGGGCCATCTACAGGAGAAATCGTCAAAAGCGGGAACTGGAACACCGACGGCGTCATTGAGTACGTACCGCTGTACGGCTCACTGCTGCCTTCTTGAAACGATGCCGTGTTGCGGAGGACATGCCGGATGTTCTGAAAATGGTCGAACACCAAGACCAAACTCTTGCTCGTCCCAATCGCGATGAACTTGGGGTGAATCGCCACGACGGTCGGGCTCCCCGGGCCGTTGTCTCGAAACTCGGCGTTCTTGACGAGCTGCTTCGAAATGATTTGCATCGGTTCGACCTTGACGACCCCCGCGCTGCCGCCATGATGGTGCGTCTTGTCCTTCTTTCGTTGTTGCATGATCACGGACGAATAGTGATTGTTCGAACGCATTCGTCGCTTCACGGCAAGGGGACTCACGAGCATCTCGCGAGGCGGCTCTAGCAGAATCTCTTCCAACGACTTGGCCACATCCAGCGGGGTTTTCAACGAATTGCTCGTCGAAGCGTTCGTTGACGGTTTGTGCATCGACACTCGCGATCGAGACGATAGCGTTCGGTGCAGCAATGGATTTTCCGTCGGCACGGTCACGGTTGAAGTCGCAGTCGTAGACACCTGTGCCAACGACGTCGCCTCCAAGTCTTCGTTGAGGATCTCTTCCAGCGTCAGTGTCGCCTCCAGATCGTTCACATCAATCATGTCTTCACCATCGCTGTCCTCTGCGAGCAGCTTGTCGACTTCGCTCAGCTCCATCGTCGTCATATCCGTCGATGTTGATTTCTGGCGGCCGTCGGTCTCGTCAAAGTGCGGGTGGAAGTGGGCACAAGTCGGAAGTACGACGCTCGCACTTGAAAGGGTCACAGTCAGTTCAGTGAAAAAGACTGTGATTCGTGCACACGTTAAAGGCATCTCACAGTAAAACGTAAATATTTTGAGGACATTTGAACGACGTGCAAAGGCAGTGTAAGCACAGGGGAATGGAAGGGTCTGCGCCAAGCGTGCCGCGTGGCAGGAGTTGCGAAAGCATGCTTCGTGGACAGAATTGGCTTGAAACACTAAAGCGGGGGTGAGCGAGAGTTGTCGATTTTGACGTCTTGTCGTTAACATTTCCTGGTCGTTTTGGAGCACGTATTTTAGGAAAATGTCGGATTTCATGATAATTGATATATTTTCAAGATTTATCGCACGACTTCTACAGAAGCGCTCGTCCCATCCGTTGAAATGCAGACGGTGGCAAGGTGCACACAGTGCTGTCGCCGCACGCTCGTTTACACGCCACGCCCGCGTCGTCGTCCTTTTGCAATAAAGCGAGAGCGCCCTCGTCAACGTCCTGTGGCTCCGCCATCCGAAGTTGCGCCGTTCAACAGCCAGGAGACAGCGCAACCAACGCACAGAAAGTTGAGTAGGCCAGTACCTGTCCGGCCAAAGTCCGACACGAACAAGTGTCTGGGCGCAATGGATCCAACAGCATCCATCGTGAATTGCATGACGTGGAGGAGGGAAAGACTCGATCCCAAAGCGACCAGAACGACCATCGTAGATCGAGTGCACTACGGGGTAACTAAGTTGGATTCGAATTCACGAAGTTGATGAGGGTGAATCGAACGCCTCGTTCGAGTTGAGGGTGATCGCGAAGTGTTATCTGAGCAGAACCACTGGAGGACAGCGGAAGCAATGGTGCAAGCTCATCATGATCGTAGGTTGTGGTGAGCTGTGTGTGTGCGCCCCGCAGAAGTTGGCACCATCTCACTGTGCCTACTCTGCTGGGTCACGATCGCCCAGTGTTTCATTCATTCGTTGCAGAGATCGCGACGCCGGCATGACGTTCTATTGTACAACAAGTTTGCTGGATCAAGAGTTGTTCACCATACAAGGATGGCGCCGTCGATCGAGCTCGCGCAGTCATGTCGGCTCGAGTGTTTGGTTTCGATCACGATACCGTCGCCTTGCTCTGCAATGAGGCGCGTGATACCATGATTTTCCCGCGTGGCGAGGCCATTGGGGACGAGGACGCACGAAATCTCGATGTGGAAAGACATGGGGAGGGTTGCATGGGGCGTCGGCGCACCGTGCGGAATCGGGGGCGTTCGCCTCCTCACCAAGCGCGACACGAGCGTGAGGATCGCAATATCTGCCACGGACAGCACAGAGTTCTCCTTGTACGCTATGAACACGACGTGGATGGCCATGTTGTTGTCGGAAGCGTTCATGTCGACCACGGTCGCGATCGGAGAGACGAGACGATCATCGTGACTTGCTCTGCCGCGACCATCGTGAAACAGACAATTGGCAACGTCAACATCGAGCTCGCCTCGCCCGCGGCAACCACGTAGATCGTCGCCACCGCTTTCGTGTACGCAAAACGGTTGGCCCGGGCAATCGTGAAATACACGACGGGCAGCAAGACAGAGATGTGAGTGAACGCCCCCAGGAGAAGCAGCATGAACACCAGCTTGACAGCATCTGTGAAGAAGACCCGAGTTGGCTAAAATCGACTTGAATCGTGGGGGACGACAAAATCGATGGTCGAGTCAAGGGTCGCGCTAGACATAACGCCCACCATCGCGTACAGAGTCCGGCCCACGACCCCACCCCCACCGCAAAATGACAAAGAAAATGTCTCGTCAGCATTGCAGAAACACGTCGAGATTAGTGCCAAGCGAGCCATTTGACAGCTTGACCATCCCCGCCGCTGTCGCAATGCCGATTGGAATTGCGATCATGAACACACCGAGCCGTCTGCCGTTGGCCATCGACGCCATCCGCTTCGATTCGCTGCGCGAGTTACCCGTGGTCCCTGTCGAATTCTTGACGTCCACTGACCCAGGGTGCCAACATGAACCCCACGACAATGATTGAAAGTTGATTTCAACTTGGTCGGTCAAGCAAGACTCGTCGGTACACGTCTCCAGTCGTCAATTCGCCGTCCGGGAGATCAAGAACGGGACAAGGATTAAGCTGGGCGAGAACCACGCGGCATGGATCGCTAGAGCACGACAGTGAAGAGCGATCATGCGAACGGTGCGCACTGTTGACGCTGGACGTGCCAGCATCGATCCCAACGATGATCACGAGAGGTTGAACGTCTTGGCGAGGCTCACAGACACCGTTTCATCATAATGCACTCGAAGCTCCTTGACTCGAATCCCCGAGACTAAGAGCGACCCGAACCTGAATCGCGCATCACCGCTTGGACTTGTGGATGATGTCGACATACCACCGACTCAAGTAGAACGTTGTCGCATGGCACGGGCTGTCGGGGCATTGGGATGGCCTAGACTCATTTGCACGCGGCCTTGACGGCGGCTTTGATTCGGTGATGCCGATCGTACGCTTCACCTTCCACAGCGAGTGGGATGCCCACTTGAGCGAGCTGGAACTGATTGAGAATGGAGACGATGTAAAACCAGGTCTTGCTGGCGCAAGTTCGACAAGATATTTCAGCCTCGTTAAAGTTGACATTGACCGAGTTGTCCGTGGTGCCGCCACTTCTACATTCCCCGCGTCAGTGCCCTCGCATTGAACGCGAGGGGTCGATGTGAGTGGTACGTTTTGCCCGACACAGCCGCTGCTGGCCCCCAACGACACCTTGAGTTTCGACTTGGCCCAGATGTCGCCGCTGTTGTGCGGTGGCGAGAACTTATCTGCCTTTGCGCAAGACCCCACTGGCGTTGAGTAGCTGGACATGGCTTTGTTGCGCCCTTCGAAGAGGTCGCCATCCCGCTGGCACCTTGATTGGAGGCATGGCCTAAAAATAGGCTTCGCGGCTGCGGGTTTGTGAGACTCTGGTGTCAGGAAAGCGCCATGACAAATCCGCCGAGACGAAGCCTCTTCGGCAGTCCCGTTGCCAAGTTGCACCAAGAAGATAACTCAGACCCGCCGGGGCTAACTTTCCAGGCGCTGGGTACTGTGTCGTGTTGGTTCTTTGCCAATTATTCACTCGATGTGGCAGACCGCATGAAAGTCGAGCGCCATCGCTTGGAGAGTCGTCGCATGACCTTAGTGGACACGCTGTGGCATGCTGCCGTGGCCGACGCTAGCGTTCTGACGTACGACGGGTACGCACGGCTGCATCGGGCAGTTTCCAAGTATTGCACGGACAGCAGCGCAAGCCCCACCGACATGGACGCGGACTGGGCTCTAGATATCGATGGTGACGGAGTGAAGGGCATTGATCACAGACATTTCCACGAGCTCATGAGTCAGGTGCGACCACATACACCGCTCCTGGACCCTGCTCTCGTTGCGTGATGACTGTCGCACATTTCAGCTCGTCGAAATGTGGGGACTGCAGCTCCAAGCGTCGTCGGTGCGTCAACCGCCTTCGTCCCAGTGTGTAGCTCAACCAAAAAGTGGCCTCATTAGGACGAACTACTGGAATCCATGGTGCAGGAGCTTGTCGATCCAGGTGACGGGGGGCAGCCCTTTTGCCATCGTCCGTTTCTCAAATTCGATCGCAGTGTCGCACCTGCTGCGCGATGGCGATCGCGTCAACCCCCACGCAATTGCGACAAGCGTCCACGACATGCTCGAATGCGTCGCGCCAAATGGATCGTGGGTTTCCTCGAATGCAACCGTTGTCAGGACGCTCGACATCGATTCGAACGCAGTGCGCGATCCCGCCTTCCCATTTCTCGCTAGCTGTGCACCCCATTCATCTAGTCGTTCTAGTCACGGTATGCCACGACGGCAGCAGCAGTTGCCTACCTCGACCGCATAGCCGGAACGGACTCGAGATGGTACGTCGGCACGTCGATTCGTTGTGAACTGAAGCAGCGACAGGATATCCGTGCGATGTCGTTCAGCTGGGTGGCTGGCCAAGCACGAAGGGGACAAGCACTTTACCGAGCTACAAGCTCTCTTGCATCGCTTGCATGTGTCGTTTGACGTGGCACCGCTCATGCGCCTACGGTTGGATCCGCTGCTTGATGCTGCTAGAACGTTGGTGGTGGATGCGTTCGTCGCCATGGCGTCTGGGGAATTGGTGCCTTGTCTCGAATGGCTGCGAACGTTAACCCCTTCGATGTGGCGAGTGCTGGCGTCGCCCATAGGCGGTTGGTGCACACTTTGTCATTGAACAGACGTATGAGTCCAATGCGTCGTTGCGGATAGCACACTCGTCGTTGGCGAGTCCCCCACAAGTCCAAGCATATTTATTCAAGCTCAGCCGCTTTACACTCATCCCACAGCTGTGTGCTTTTTGCGACACCGCAAGCATTCTCGACAAGCAGGTACAACCTCTCCATTCACGGCGAGCTGCAAGCCAAGGTTCTTCATTCGTGAGGATTTGACCTGCCCGATATCAGGAGCTACTGCTGTTCATGCACACGCTGTCGCCATTGGAGCTCGGTCACTTTCGCGAAACCGTGCAGCGTCCCAACCACAAATTCGCCACGACCCCTGGCGTCAAGGTTGCCGTCGCATTTTTTAGCTCCCTGTCGGCCATGCAACGAATGGCCATGAAGAGCGAGTTGTACGCGTTCGCGCGAGGAACTGGCGACGTCAACTCGTATACTTCTCCGAAAGATACGACCATGTCGTTGCTCAGCAACGTGCCTCCGCCACCTCGACCTCGACATCGACAAGTACACCACGTACCTAAACTCGTTGCGATGTGTGTGATACTTGCCTGGCTAGACGTCCCCCAAGCCTCTTCACGGGCGCACTTTAGAGCCCATCTTGCGTCCGTCAGAGTCCGCACCGCTCATTTCCTCCACCGACACCAGCGCCAGACCGATTGTGCAAGTGTACGTGCATATTTCTTTTCAGAGAACATCCTTGCGTACTAAGTTGGACATGGTACAGCAAGCCAGACTGGACCAACGCAACGTCGCCCGCCCTCCTCTGGAATGGAGACGTGTACAGCCCGCCCAAATCGGCCACGGCATGGTCGAGATCGCATTTGTCTCGAGAGAAGCAGTACTTTGAAGCACGGTACTTTGACCGACCGACGATCAGTCGCCACGATCTTGCATTCAGTCCCCCGCAACACGCCAAACACTTGTCCTTGCCCCAAGTTACCGAGCGGCACATCAGTGATTTGAGCTTAGACCAGACTTGGGTGCCTCCCGCCGACTTGTCGGTGAACAGGGGCGCCACATAGACCACCCCACATCGCCGTCATCTTCGTTGCTCCATCTACCATGCCTGGACTCTGGCGGCACACCAACCTAAAGTGTTTGCCCAAGTGCAGTGGTGGCAACTTGCCAGGACATGTCGCCGCGAACTCGAGACTTGATTCTGTTCAACTAATGCATAAAAGGAATCGCCAGAGTGTCATGCCTACATTGGTAATCACAATAGGCTAACCCAAGTCGACGACTGCGATGACGACGCTAGATGCATGGAGACGGAGTTGGAAGTGCTCAGTGAGCGGCTGTTGGCACTAGCCACTCCAACCGCGTTTCCGCTTCCAGAAAAACCCAGACTGCCACAGACGGATGGGGTGTTTCAGTGAGCTTGCCGAGCGCTGCACAAAAATTGGCAGAGTCAGCCACGACTACAATTTTGAGAGAGGCGAATGGAGCATGTGTCTCGACGGTGCTTGGGTGTTCTTCAGCAAGTCCTAACGTTTGCCGGTGATGTAGTGGACCCAGGGCACAATCCGGCACTCCGCAACGCATCGGACAGGGGAAGAAGGATGATGTCAACAATGCAAAAAAAAATATCTCGGCCACCTGTTCCATTCGATCATGAACATGTCTTCGAACGGTTCTTGCACCGCTTGGCTTGCATCCGCTTCACCGTTTTGACCCACGCCATGCAAGATTTGGTCCGATTCAAACCACGACCGCTGGAATATTGTCGGCAGGAGTGATCTACACGTAGCCCGCCTCGTGTCCTGGTGCGTGCGTGGTCATGAGGTTGAGTTCATTTCGATCGAGTGTGCTTCAGCTCTTGGTTGACCCACGGGTACAACCAAAACTGGAGGCTATCACGTGCATATGCAGACGCAATGACGTTGACAACCCATGCTGCAGCATCGAGGCAAGCGATATGCGTGGCTTCAAACAAGGACGCATTTGTCCCCCAGGCGCGTTGGTCATGGGCGCTTTCGCGAAAGGAGAAAAAGAAAACAAAACCTCGTTCAAGCAGTAGTAGTTGTGAGTTCAAACTTTGGACATGCAGCGCAATGCACCTTTTGCAGGTGGAATTGCCACAGACCAACGCATTTGATTCCCAACGTCCACGTTGGAGGTCCAGCGAGCCATTCAGAGTTTGCACGACCAGCGACATGAGGGCAACCAGTTGAGTCCAGGCAAAGACCAACCATGGGATACGGCGGGATAATGCGCATCGTGTGTTTAGCCGGTTGCCTTGTTGATCGGACACTTCCTGCAAATAGACTGCTCTGAAGTCGATCTGAAAGTATTCGCCGAAGTACTGGTAAAGGTGTCGTTAGCAGCACGTTCTCGCTGCTCCATCACTTCGTCAATCGTCTGCTCCCCTAGAATGTACGCGTGAACGATGCACTGCGCAAGCAAATCTGCGTGGCCACAAGTCAATCTGAACCAGCAAATACATGAACTTGCGTGCGGAGATTCAGCACCACGGCTACATCTATCGCGGAGAGCTCATCGTAGAACAGGACGACGCGAATGGATCGGCCATGAAGTACGTCGGGTCAGCACATTTTAACCCGTCGCTACGCAGCTGCCCGCCGTCCAGGGCATATGTCAATGTTCTCGAGGCGTGCCGCGCCGTCACGTCGAACGAAATCTTCTGTGGGTATGCTGAACGCGACAGCCTCGGTCACGGAAACAACAAAGAGCTTGGCCAGGCCTTCCACCCACGACCCAAGAAGCCAGACAACTTTGAAAGCAACATCAAACCAGGACAGGTGGGAAGCGTACTCGACATGTTTGTCATCGCTTAAAATTTGTTGTGACGGAGCGGGACATCCCTTCACAGCGAGCAATCGATCGAGCATGGCCGCGCCTTGGCATGCGGTGCGGTGGATGGCCAGTTAGTCCAGGCTGGATACAGCCGACTCGAGAAGACCAACACTGCCTTCTCCAGCACTCGACAGAATTGCAGATGCTGCCGCCGTGTGTTTGACCACGAGGCGCGACAACTACATGCGCCATGATCATGCACTGGTCATGATGGTCGTTCGAACATACAGCGTCCATTTCAACCTGCACCAGCGAAATGCGCATGCAGTCGACCCAGTCCAAGATCGACTTGAGATCCGTTGCGACGCGGCTGGCATGCGCGTTGGCTTTGTTGAGCTCGCTCTGGCGCTGAAATACACTTTGACTCGCTGTCGCTTGCGCTCGCTCCAGTTTGCGCGTCGCAGCCAGTACCAACAGCCGCATGTCCTCTTCCACATGCAGCAAGACCTGATGCGACATGGACGAAAACTCCATCATGACGCACTAAGAAGTGACGATGGACAGGTCGTACTTGCAACTGCTTGAGTTTGTTCAGTTTGTCTTCGAGGGGCTGCACAACTACAGCCAACACGTCGGACTGCAACTCGGTGAGACGATGCGTCGGGTACAAGGTTCCTACCCCACACGTCATACTCAGCGCAGCGATGCGGGAGCCAGCAGCTATGAAGCGTGGATGAGACTGCTCCACCATGGCACTGGCGTCTGCCTGGACCAGCGTCGACCACACGTGTCCAATGCGCGTAAGCGCCGCGGCAACATGTTTGGCATGATGTAGCATTGCGTGTAGCTCGTCGACGATGTTCGTGTGAGACATTTTGAACTGTTCGAGGAGGGGGTCACTCGGTGGCTTGGGCTTGCCGAAGAGTTTGCGAGCTGTAGAGGAGTACGCCATTCGCTGCACGACAAGACGTTGTCGGTCTCGCAGGCGCTCCGACAATGGTCGATGTTGGTATTCGTCCACGTATCGCTCGAGGTTTTTCCACGTCTCCAGTTGCTCTGGCTCACGTACCCTGCGACAGGCACACACGAGGGCGGCAGTCGCACTCCCCTCGACATGAGGTGCGATCGCCTTTTCCTGACTTGTTGGAGGGGCCGCCACTTGCATGGCAGTAAGCTATCTGTTGTTCGTCAGCTCGTCCCTTGCCCGTCCGCCTGCACCGCCCTCTACAAGTACTCGATGCACTCTGTCATGACGAAAGTTTGATTCGAATTCATGGAAAAGAGAGTGAAAAATGCCCCAATCATGAAGTTTACATTCTATTGGATAAAAGTCTCCACATTTATACGCTTTTGATTGGTAGATGTGTGGAAGTTCTACGTCGATTTCTGTCGAGGTGGGTTGATGAGTGTTCTGTACGAAGAAGATGACGCGATGGACATGGTGTGGAGTGCAGAGTCATCGCAAGATGGGTCACCAAGCGATGGCGACGACCTCGTTAGTGACGAGGGGGATGCAGAAAATATCGACCCTTTCATCGTGGACCACTCGTACCTCGGCGAGGATTTGTCCGTTGCGGCACCGTCGTCGTCGGCTCACTTCACGCCAGGCAGCATCGTGGTCATGCCTCTCGTGTGGCTTCCTGACACGGTAACTTGTCCCCCATGTTCGGCTTGGATCTCAAACTCGTGCAGGTGATTTTTCCAGGGGAGACGTTACCCCTGCGCATGCTTGCCACGTCGACACTGCAGCTCATGACGACACGACTGCGCAACGGGCAGGACACATTTGCCTTGACCAATGCCAATATGCCTGTACAATGCGACCGTCGTTGCTTTGAGATCCCTCATGTAGTCTTGTGCAGCGCCATGTGGGCACAGTGATCCAAATTGAGCGCATGTACGAGTATGGCGTGCACCACCTGTCGATAGTCGGCCGCGGTCGCCAAAGGTTTGAGCTTGAAGATCGCGTGTCGGTGCATCATACGAGAGGGCAGTATATGGAAGGCGTATCAGCGCATGTCCGAATCCTTCCCGACTACCATGCCATCCCGTGCCCCCTTCCATTGACCGCTCGTCGTTGCCATTCGTCTCTGTACGTCCCTCGAATCATGCCTGCCATACAGCAAACAAAAACCCATCGGACGTTGTAGAAAGCGGCGACGCCCAGCCCTTGTGGCATATTGGGGACCCCATCAGTACATGCAATTCGACGGCCCCGCGCTCGTCCTTCAAGCCAAGTCGATTTTGCTCCAGTCTGTGGAATTCCACGCGTTTATGGCTTCATCGACATCGACCGCGTCGTCGGCCGCCACGGCCGCCATGTCAGCGCCATCCGATCCCACCCGCTTCTCGTACTGGCTCGCAGCTCATCTCAACCTTGGACTGCCAGCTCGTCAGCGGTGTGCCAACTCACCATGTTGTCCTCGCTCTAACTTTTGGTCAGACTGTTGGCTACATCCTCTGTGATTGCGCGATTGCGGTCGCTCATTGCATGGCTTCACCAGCAATCCGCGGTGATTCAGTGCGCTGGATGCGCGACGACGTTGGCCAGCACGCGATCGATATTCCTCAAGCACGACCCAGACCATGGGGTACGCACTTTGTCGATCGATCTTGATGTGCATTTGATGGTCGTTTTGTCGTGCACTAGGGCCCTGTAACCACATTTGCAAACCCCAACGGCGACATCCATCAGATTCTGACCATGCTGTCGGTGGACCGATCGATGTTTCGTACGTATGGTCACCCCACTCTCACGGACACGTGGTTCCCCGGCTACACGTGGCAGTGCATTTCGTGCCGCCATTGCTCCAATTTTCTCGGATGGCGATATGTCTCTACCGTCGACCAGGTGCATCCGCACGTGTTTTTTGGACTCCTACGAAATGCCATTTCCTAACGAGAATACCTTGATTTTTTCCCCACGACGACTTGTGTGCGAGGTCCACGATCGGATCGTGCTGTCGTTGATCGCGATACCTCAACCAAGCAAACTGAAAATGCTATCAACGTAATGTGGATTCGTCTTGTCGTGCAACGACCAGGTCGATGCACAAATTGATCGCAATCGCTTCATCCGATCGCTCGACATGGCGGCTACACGTTTGGCCGATCGCTGCATTACAGTCGCCTTCATCTAGATCGATCCGTGCACGCGCGACACAGGATCCGATCCTTGACCGCTGGACACAACGCGAACTTGGTTCCGATAGCATGCGGCTACCGCAGCAGCAGTGTGGCGAGATTTCGCCGCATAGGACAGAGCTGAGTGGTGGGAGCTACCTCGGTCGGCCATCGCGTCGGAGGTGCGCTTGAAGAGCAGCCGATTGCCCTCCTTGACAGCATCCCTTTGCGTCATGCCTTTCTTCCGAGCCACCTTGGCTCGCGCCGCGACTTCGTGTTGCATCCAGACCTTGCTGCGTACAAACTCGCGAACATCACCCTTGGCACAGCTGCGGCAGGTCAGAAAGCGCTGGGCAGTGAATATCTCGACTTGGTGCTGCACGTACAGCTCATGGAGCCCAACTCTCGCGGGTGGATAACGAGCACGCGCAGTACGTAGACCAGCGTATAGAGCCGACTATCTTGTTGGTGAAGCACTGATCTGCTTCCTCGACATGCTGCTTGCGACAGGAGATCGACGTCGCTCAATGCAGCTGCGTACCAAGTGTTTCATAGCCTAAGGACTCGACAGTCCTTACGAACCCCCCTCCCCAGTGCAAGGAACACCCACCTAGACTCCAGCGTCGAGGCATATTTTCTTCACGCGACTGCGAGCCGAGTCACGAGGAAAGGTCGTCGTGGTGCTCGAGCGAAATCATCATGTTCGAGCGAATGTGTGGGCCATGCAGAGGAGTACATGTGGGGGTCATCGACGGCGTGGGCAGTGTGTGTCCTCAAAGCAGGTCGGTCTCCTGTAGGAACCCCCACTGCACCCTATAGACAAGATCGTGGCCGGGCTGTGGGGCGGCTGCGTCGCATCGATTTCTTGAGCAGTCGTCCGACACAATCGCCAGTTGCACGGCGTGTGTCTGATCACCCTTGTTCGAGCAGTGGCGACGGCATACCTGGCGAAGACACTCATGTCCTTGCCAAGGACGGCGGAATAGCAGGGGGGGTGGGCGCGGGAATGTTCCCGCGACCATTCGCCATGGAAGTTTCGTCGCCCGAAGCGCGGGCAACGATCCTGTCGCCCTCCCTGGCGTCCGTGGTGACCTCTTCTGACTGAGTCCACGGTAGTCACGGCGCCGACTCGAGGGTATATTGCTGAAACACGACGCCAACTTGTTGTGCGACCCCAAGCATGCGACGGTGGTCGCGTTGTTCGAGCCATACGTGGGTCATCCGCGGTTAAACACGATGAAGAAATCAGGGAGAGAGAATGATTCAGGCACGATCGTTGTGTTGAGACCGTACGATGCCGATCGCAGGTGCCGACAGGCACAGTTCAACAGCGACGTCGCTGCACCATGGCAAGAAGAGGCCTTACCCGCTTCAAAGATTGGATAAATGGACAGCATGCACATGGTGCTTGGCAAGACCCTCAAACTCATGTGCGCTAGTAGATGCACATCGAGTGAAGGTGCGAGTGCTGCATGCGTGCGACGACGATGTCTCAGGGCTTTCAAGACAGGGCAAACCGTCCAACAATGCGAGAACTCTCGATGATGTCATGTGGCTCCACTCTTCGCCCCGCCAAGACTGCTCCGTTGGCTGTGCGTGCGGTGGAGTGTGTTGGATTATCGGGAATTCGTCAAATCGGCCAAGGCGACACCGCGGGCGGCCGCGCCCCGCGCCACCACTTCGTCTGCATTGTCGACACGGAGTAGAGTTTGGTTGTCCAGGGCTTGACCAACACAAGATTGGACTAGTGGCGACTTGCCCCCGCCCCCTACTACCACGACAGCGTCGACAGCATCCAGCTTAGCATCGTGGAGCACTTCTCGGCACAGCGTCGCGGCGTGCTGCAGAGGGGTCTCCATGAGCCGACGGAGAGACGACGCAGTCACGGTGAGGTCGAGGTGCTTGGCACCGGTCGCGTCGGCCGTGATGAACGGCAGATGCACTTGACTAAGCTGCGCACTGCTCAATTCGTGCTTGGCCTGTCGAAAACATGTCGAACCACGTCGTGAACTCGCCTATGACGTACCGCATCGGCAGCCTGGGCAAGGCGCTCCATCGCGAGCGAGTCCATGCGGAGGTCGATCCCGTGCTTCTTCATGAACGAAGCATTCAAATGCTCGACAATGCTGGCGCTGACAGCGTCGCCACTGCATGCCGTGGTCGTTCTACGGTAACGCGGTCAACCCCATGCACCAACGTCGCCATGTTTGGTCATGCGCAGCAACACGTACTTTGTGCTCAAGATCTTGGGCGATGTCATGTCTGGATCGCAGAGCAAGATCGAACAGGACGTCTCTGTCCCGCCCATGTCAAATACAGCCACGTGCTTCACGGGTTTTGTCCCTTTGGGCAGCGCCAGGACCGCCGCGACCGCATCTGGGATGAAGTCTACGACGCGGTAGCCAGCATGTTGAAGAATGGCCCGGAGCCGCTCGAGCGGTGGGCCATCGTATTGAGATGGCACAGCGCACACGCAAGGTAACAAATCGTCCATGTCCTGCGACGTGGCCATGACAAAGTACGTTCATGGACACGGATGGAGAAAAAACCGAGTTTTCACGCACATTGTGGTGCTTTTCGAGGGAGCTGCGCACGCGACCGTGAAGTGATTCGAGGAGAGTTTCCAGGACTGTATCGACAGACACTTTGGCATCGCCCATGTCTAGGACGCTCGTCGAAGCGTCGTGGAGCAGGGTCGAGCGCAGGTTTGGCACCGCGTTCTTGGCGACGAGACTGCCGACAACGAGTTCGCCATTGCGGACTTGCACAGCCATGCGGTCAGACTCGATCACGATTTTACGTGGATTCGTCTCCAAATCAATGCCACACGCCTGCACGAAGACATCAGCACGACGGATCACCGACCTGATCTACTCGACGTACACGTGCGTTGATGGAACCAATGTCCAAGCCGACCATCACGCTTGTCGGCTGATCGCGGGGTGCCGCTGCAGCTTCTCGGTATTGCTTGACGCGTTCTTGTGCGCGAATCACATACCGCGTCGTGATGGCCAACCCGACGCCGACGACTGCAACCACAAGTGGAAGGCGCTCCCGTGGAGCAGACGCATGGAAGCCGGCAGTCATAGATCCAACATGTGAGCCTCGCCCAAGGATAGAGGACGTTGCCGCCATGGCACTTGCCCTTCCAGTCAGGCGCATCGCACTGCGTGCTGCCGTGCCTTGCCACATCGTCGTCAACTCAATATCGGTGCAATGAAATCCGGTTAATTACATGATTATGCGGACACAAAAGCTCCTCATTGACCGAAGCTGATGGTGTTCCTGGCAACGACCGTCCGCCGCGCCGCCGTGAAGGCGGCATCTGCACGGCCAACAGTTGTAAGCCGCAGCTTCGCCACGTCCGTACGTCCAGCCAACTCGGCCATACTGCAGCAGCTCGAAATGTTTCCAGAGTTCAAGGAAAGCGCTGACGCGTGCAACAAGCACCTCTTTGATCGCGCCGTTGCGCCGTTAACGCGCATGTTGCAAGTTTGCGACACTATATCACCGGCGTTGGCGGTGGAAGCTGCATGGGAGCTGGGCAAGGTACACGCTCGTCTTGGTCACGTCGAGGAGGCGGTCCGATACTTCCAGCGAGACGTGGTACATGGAACCGAACAGTCTGTCCGGGTGCAACTGGCACATGGCGATGGTGCCGCCGCACTTGTCTTGGCAGGTGCATTGCCGTCCCCGTCGAAAGAGGTCTATAAGGGAATCGCGCAATACGTACTGAGTGGCGACGTCGTTCTACCTGAATCCCACGGTAAGATCCTGACCATCGCAGTTGAGTCCGCGGTTGACTACAGCAGTATCGACGTACTCTGTTCATCGTTAGATGCAATTTCTTCGACCATTGGTGTCTCTGTCAACAAGGCCAACTACGCCGCTCTTGCAGCGGCCAGCGACCTGTCCAGTCTCGGCGCCACATCGAGCCAGCCGTTGGAAGCATCACCGGCAAGCCATTCGCACCTGGATGAAGCTGTCGCGTTGTGGAATGACCTCGTTGAAGCCTTGCCGTCCCAGGATGGCCTCACTCGAGCGGACTTGTCGTTCCTCGCGTCCATTTTAACCAATTTGGGTAAGCAAGTGCATCTCGGTTGCTTTAATTGCACTGCAACCATCCTCTTGTCTAGGCGAAGTCTACCTGGCACAAGGGCGCACTGAAGACGCCATGAACATCCTTGGTCAAGCGCTCAAGCGCAATGAAGCTGTGCCGTCACAGCCGCTCGAGTTGGCGCGGACGCTGGGTCTGCTTGCCGTACGTGGCGCTTTCGCACCGGCGACGACCTCACCCGTTGGCCATTCTAGATTGGTTACCACCGACTCGGGCAAGCCGTGTCCAGCGAAGGTTTGTTTTCGAGCAGTTTGGACAAGTTCGAAGCGGCAACTCAGCTTAGCCGCGTGCACACTGTCGCGTACGCCAAGACGTTGGTCGGGTACGGCCACTTGCTCAAGCAATGGGAAAAACGCGAGGCGGATGGCGACGCCAAACTCGCCAAAGGCAACGCTCTCCTTGGACACGATTCGTGGGTGACGCTAGTGTACTTGGGGTTGGAGTAATGCAGTCGAGAGTGTCGGTGGCTTGTCCTGTTTGAGCCGAGTTCGTCGACTCGAATTGGAAGGAGCTTGGTGGTTTGAACGCACACTCACACCATCCGATGGCCTCCAGTTTGGATGGCGACCACAGTCGCTCCGAGCAGCATCTTGAGAAGTCCGATCTCGCGCACTGTCATTGCATGGGGACACAATCGGAAAACGGCCGCGACTTCGACTGTCGGTCGTGTTGAGCGGCCCTCCCAACGACACAGCTGTGTGTGCTTGTCGTCTCTCGAACGAGCGCAAGCAATCGAGTCGTTCGCGAGAATCGCGACGACCCTTCGACTGGTTATCCACGTCGATCGAGGGAGGGTCAAGGTCTAGCCCTGTGTAAAGTTTACAGGTAGATATGTACTTGCTAGGGTGTTTTTCATTGGCATCCAGGCTCTATTTGGTCTTGGCCATGATCGATGCCGTGTGCACGTTGTGGTCTTCAAGACTTGCCTGGTATTTACTCGCTCGGCAACGATGGCCAGTCGCGCCTCCCCCCTTTAGTCCTGGGAGACGTTCATGTCAATTGTCTCGGCAATGGCACATGCAGCCCCTTGCTTGCATTGTGATTGGAATAGAATGGCGTTCCGAGAGACAGACACTTCTTAGCCAGTTGCTGTTTCGAGTGGAGGCTCGTCATCGCAAACAAAGATAGCCTTGGAGCCGAACGAACCACACATACACTGGCAAACGCATGCTCTCTATCTCGGAAGATTTGTACATGCAGACGAATGTTGGCTTCACGCCATGCGGGGGCTCGCACCAAGGAGGAGCTGAGAAAGTGCCGGGGGGGGGCAGAGCTGCTTCACGCACTCAACGATGACGAAACAAGCGCATCCCGCAATATCTCCTCCACCGTGCCCGTGATTGTATGCGGCTCGGAAGGTACTTCAGGGCTAGTCCAAGGGCGTCCCAATCTCTTTCGATCATTTGCTGCATGCCCGTCCCACGTCCCCTTTCTCTGTCCGTCGGGCTTGGAGCATCGGAGTCGCCACTCCTGTCGCGCGATAAGGGTCGTGGGGTCCCAAAATAGCTCCCGCTGTCGTCGACCAAAACAAACAGCTCGAGGTTACGCCATCCAAAAATAACATCACTTGCGTCGTTGGTTGCTTCCCCAAGAGGCGCGGTCGTGGATGGCCGAGTACGATCCCGACGCGGCTATCGACAGCCAGGGCCAGGTCATTGGCGACTATGTACTTGGCAAAACCATCGGACGAGGTATCGACAAGATGCATCCACGACGCGCTGCGACCGGCACCGCCATCTTGCGCCTCCACCATGAACTGAGCCGACGATCACGATCGTTCTCTCTGTAGGCACGTTTGGCAAGGTCAAGATCGGCATGCATCTGTCAACAGGCGAAAAAGTCGCGGTCAAGATCCTGGAAAAGTGCCGCATCCTCGAAATTGCCGACGCCGAGCGCGTCGCCCGCGAAATCAAGATCCTCAAGCGGAATTTCCACACAAACGTGATTCAGGTGGGCGGCGATCCTTGGTGGCAAACCTGTCGTGGCCCGAGTGGTTGGCGTCCTGTGGCGGGGTCTCATGTCGGTGTCCCTTAGCTCTACCAAGTGATCGATACGTCGGAAGCCATCTATCTCGTCATGGAGTACATTGACGGCGGCGAAATGTTCGAGTATATTGTCAAGCATCACCGCATACGGGAAAAGGAAGCTGTGTACATGTTTTTGCAAATAGTCGAAGCGCTCGACTATTTGCACCGAAATGACGTGACCCACCGGTACAAATGGATGCGCGCTTGGCCACAATTTCGTGCGACTGAATCGTGTTGTGCAGCGATTTGAAGCCCGAGAACCTCCTCCTCCAAGGCACCACTGCATCCGGGCTCCTCGTCAAGGTGGTGGATTTTGGGCTGAGCAATACCCACGACGGCGGCCGACTGCTCCAGACCGCGTGTGGGTCGCCGTGCTACGCCGCCCCCGAGATGATTGAAGGCAAGCTGGTACGTACGACTTCCTCCTACCGCCCATCAACATGTCGAGATGTATGGTGGTGCGAGTGTGTGGGGGACATGTCCATGCGCATTCGTCCTGTGTGGCCTCGCGGAGCGGCCGCGTTGGCGTCTCTACGTGCGACATTGTTGGCGAGCGTTCCATGCCCCGACATGGACGGCTAACGTTGTTTCGATGTGTCCACCACCAGTACATTGGACCCAAAGCCGACATTTGGAGCCTCGGAGTCATCTTGTTTGCCATGGTGTGTGGGTATCTGCCGTTTGAAGATAACAACACGAGCGTCCTGTACAAGAAGATTCTGTCGGGGCAGTACAAGCCCCCCAACTACATTTCGCCGGTACAGCCCGTCGCGATCGTCGCCCACTTCCCCCGTCGACCCACTCGGCGTCCTCATCTCGGCCGTCTTTCTCTAGTCGGTCCAAGACTTGATCCGCAAAATCCTCGAAACCAACCCGGACAAGAGGTACACCCTCGACGACATTCGAAACCATCCGTGGTGCAAAACCCTCGACACGCCCCTCCCCATCGTACGTTGATCGTGTCCATGCGGTCTGTGCTGGGCTGCATGGCAACGCCCCCTTGGCCGGCCGGACGGTGGGCTCATCTCCCTTGTTCTAGAACGCGTTCGCGAACGGCGACAAGTCCCTCAACGACGCCGCCCTCGCAAAGCTCGAAGACATGGGCCTCAAGCGGGAGCTCGTCGTCGACGCAATCCAGAAAGGCGTCCACACGGCCTTCAGTGCCGCCTACTACCTGATGCTCAAGTTCGTACCTCGTCGAGGAAACTGCATCGTGTAGACATCACCCCTGTTGAACAATAGCAAGGTGAATCGGCCCACAGAACCTGCTGTGCGCCGACGTCGGTACTCTGCCTACAACCAAGGGAAAAAAAGCAACGTTCAAGCGGCCTTGGACGAAGCTGCCAAGGCGGCGTCGGCGACGGGGAAAGACGCCAAGCAGCCCGCAGCGGGAGGGCAAAAGACTCCGACTCACGCCAAGCAAGACCCGCCGCCGGGATCGAAAGGTCGGTGCATCCCCCGCGGTCACGAATACGAACGAATGACCAACAAACTCGTAGACGGTGGTGTACCAACCTCGAAAGGTGGCAAGACAACGTCGCCAACCCAATCAACCGATACACGACTTCCTCCCCAAGGTAGGACGAATGCGACGCCTGGATGCTGACGCGCCATTGAACAGACGCGCCAACACCGTCGACAGAGTCTGTCTCGCTGGTGGAGCCGCTTGTAAAAAGTAATACCTGAAGCATACTTGGACGTTTGACAACCCAACGTGGCTTTTCCAGGCACAACACCTGCGCTGACGGCCCCCGTGACTGCTGGAAAAGGTACGTGCAACCCGTCAAACGACGCACCCGTGGTCATGTCGATGGCAGCAGCACCTATGCCCGGTGCAAGTCCCCAGCTCGAGCCCGTCAAGACAACCACGCCTCCTGGAACACAACCAACATGTCCCCAGCTCGAGCCCGTCAAGACAACCACGCCTCCTGGAACGCAATCAACCAAAGAGAGTGCCGTCCAGGAGCCCTTGTCGACAGCCAGACAGAAAACTACCGCAATGCCCACAGGCACTGTAACCCCCCAACCACGAGGGCTGGCAGGCACCGTCCCGCCGTTGGACCCGATCGTCCCTTCATCCGGCGGGTCGCATTTGTCAGCATCGTCGTCTGCAAGCAGCATTAAGTCGGGGCGTAGTGGCAAGCACTTGGTGGAAGCCAGCGGGGCAATGGCGACGACGGGAAATGGCGGAATCACGCCGGTGCCTCCGGCCGAAGCAAAAGATGCCCCTCGGCCAAAGGGCCGAGCGACGATTGCAATGGGGAATGTTTTGGCGCCGCTGGTCAACCAACCGACCCCAAACCAGCCTGCTTTGGCGATTGCGACCAACGCAAAGAACTTGATGCCGTTCAACTCGAACCCGCCGTCGGCCAAGCCGCCACCCGAGTCGCTTGTAGCGAAGAAGCGCGTGTCGCGCCACGGCAGCATTTTGAACGGTGCAGACGAGCCGTCCAACTACGATCTCGAAATGATGAAGATGCTCGTGAATCGAGAACACTACGGCACGGGCTCAATCAAGGAAGAGAACCGGTCCAAGGACAATCTACGGCTCGACACGAGTGAATCGACGCTGCTCCCAAACGCGTCGTCTGTGTTGAATGTGATCAGGGCAAGCTCATCTGTGATCAAGGCAAGTGAGGAAACCCATAAGCAAATCTCCCCTCGCAAAGTGTCCACTGAGGACTTGGCCGGGGCGACTGCAGGTATGACTGCATGGATTCGCATCGGCCGGCATGTGATACTCATGTTGATGCGACGATAGCAACAGTCTCAACAGGTAAAGACAGCGGTCCGAGGCCACCCGAAGAGGTGACTCGGTAGCCTGTGCTCCAGAAGAAAATCCAGCCATTCAAGCCAGACACCTCCCATGACATCGAATGCCCTGCACCTCACCGCACGACCTGCCCCTCCACACCCCATATTCTATAGATAACATGATTCCCCATCACGTCTTCGCCACCGCCGGCGCGGCCTTTGGGGCACATCATGAAAAATGCTGGGGGTATCCGGATCCATCGTCATTTATCCGGATATCCATTTGGATTGCCGCCGCCACGACGGGATGTTGGACCATGTCCGGAGCAATGAATTGGAGTTCATGGTGGGAAGTCTCCACCACATGCATACGCTTCTTGCCTTTGGCGTGACGTGCGTCACTGTGTTGTGTAGGCCGAGCAAGAGCTGATCTCGATCATGCCGTACTTTGAGCTCCAGGAGAACGGTGGTCGATTGAATGGCATTAGCGTACGTTGGCTGGATTTGTCGACCGGGTGATGTTGCGCACCATTGTTCATGCAACGGATGTCGCTGTTGATGCAGGGTGATTTCGGTCCATTCCATCCCTCGACACCAACCCAAGTACCGCTGTGGCTCGCATTGGCGCTCAAGCAGCTGCAAAAGTGCCGTATTCTCCAACCGTCGTGGTTCACCGTCGGCCATCTGAAAGAGCGCCTGGAAAAAGAAGCGTCGAGCGAACTCTTTGAGGAATTGCCATTCCATTACCTCGAGATCGCCGCACTCCTCGTTAAGCAGTAAGCTGCCATTGGGACGAATGCCGTGCGGGACACGTTGGCCTCATGCACGTGTTGTCGATTTTGCTCAGTGCCGCCGACGACATGCAGCAAGTGGAATCCATCCGCCTCGTCCTGGAAGACATCCAACAGGTTCGCCAGGACAAGATTCGGAATGGTTTGGTGCGTATCGCCGCGGACGTGCAAACGGGAGGAACAGCATATGCCGTGCAGGTGCTCCCGCCACCCACTCGAGATAACCCCACAGATAACGTCATCTTCATAGCTCAACAACGTTGCTGCCATGGAAATTAACTCGGTGCGCCAATTTATGACCAAAGTACGTGTGCCGGCCGCGACGCCCAAGTCGCTCACATGCGTGTAGTCGTTGTCCAAGCTGTATGGATTGGGTGCAGCTCGCCTCACAGGTTCACAAATCTCACCGTGTGCACATACTTGCGTGCTCTCTGCTGTGACAAGCCGCTGGTAGATTCCACCGACTCGTCGCAAAGTCAATTGTCGAGCCAGCCACCGTCGTCCGCGGAAGGTTTGCATGCGATCTTCAAACCAATTTCGTCTTCACCGAACGGCGGTGTCAATAGATCTCCCAGAACAAGCCCGCTTGCGCCGCCACCGTTGACCATATCTCACACAATACACTCAATGTCTGGAGTATTCAACATAGCCACCTCGGAATCCCATCGCTTGCGGGGACCTCCGCGACAGGAATAATTTCGTTGCATGCGGCTTTGCCGTTCCTATTGAACTCGTAAACCCCATAAAAGGGCCGCGTCAGGCTTCCATGACTCATTGACTCGTGGAGACTAGTGGCTAGCACCGCCTACACGGGAACTCTACATAACCAGTTCCATGACCGCTGTGTGATGAATGCAAAATTGCATTATGACTGACGGCGTGTCCATGCCCAAGTCCACATGGGCACAACAACGACGGGGTCTGGCTTGGCCAGGATGCCGTTTAGAAGATGACTTCCATTAAAGTGTAGCTACTTAGCGCACGGAGCGCCCGCTAGTGCGCTGATGAGGAGGTGGCGAGGCTTGACGGGCCGGGTCGTCCGCTTGCTAGCTGAGGGTTCACAAACGTCGTGACGGCAACAGGGTTGACTTGAATGGGCTGCTGCCTGCCACCTTTACGCACGACGGGATCGCCGCCGGCATTCAACCCCTTGGCATCGATCTGAGCGATTAATTCTCGCTCTTTCTTGTCTTCTTCTGCGGCCACCGCACAGCAGATCCCACAGAACGCGGCGCATGCGAGGCCCCCAAAGATGTCTTCCGCGTCGCTCATGGGTGGCCGAGTCCAATTCAGGAATGGAAGTGGAGGCAGGATCATCTAGTTGGCTGCAAGGCATTTTCTCCACCGCGCATTAGCCCACTCCGCGCCGAACGTTCACCATCGCATCATGGTGAGACCGCTGGTGCAACTGCCTGCATGTGTGCGTTTTCAATCGTCGCCCTGGATACAGGTTACGACGGAAAAATGTCCCCAGAGG